CACCCACACACACACACACACCCCAAATCTCTTTCTGAGCATGTTGTGAATGTCATCTACTACCCCATTCTGTTTTAGCTCAGTATCTGTCAAACTGACTTTATTTTGATTTTTCTAAGTCAGTTGACTGTGGCAGTCATCTTACATTGGACTAACTCCAAAAATTAATCAGATATAGATACTGTATACATCCAATTATTATTATCTAAAGGTTTCATTGACTTTCATGCAGTGGATCATCAGATATTGATAATAGATGAAGTTATCTCTAAATAGTTATTGACTAATTTTGAACAAGGGTTTTGTGCAATCTTGTTGCACAGTATATCAGTCTCAGTTACTATCAGACCAATTTTAAGTCAGTATCTGTAAAATTAAATGAATTATAAWTTTTTTGTGTTTTTAGGAATAGCTAACCATAGCAGCCAGCTTCAGTTAGTCTTTCTGATGTAAATGTACATTAAATTATTACTTTCTGCAAGTTTCCATAAAACTTTCACAAGATTTCTCAGAAGATTAAAAGAATGTTTTTTGCTTAAAAATGTAAACATAAAAGCAGCTCTTAGATTAATTTTTGTAAATTACAAAAATGTATAGAAGTGTACGAGTGACAAAACCTTCTGAAAACTGTACAACTGTTATGCATTTGAGTATATGTTAAGTCACTGCACTGTATGCTGGTTTAATAAACATATACTGTGTATATACTGTATATATGTACAAAAAATTAAATAGCATTTCTAATACATTTGAGTAAGTGTGCAGTGCTATTTGGCCACCTGGTAGTGTCCACAAAAAATGTGGCCCTTTCCATTATTTAAGTTTCCCATCCCTGCTGTAGACAGATGGAGTGGAAAGGTGCTTCATTTCTAACAGGTTGAGTGTCAGAAACAGGAGCCTTTAATGAATGGAGGAACCTGCAGCTGCTGTTTGACATAAAGAGCAAATCTCTGCTGACTGTTACAGACAATGATGCCAGGAAAAGCCAACTTACAGTAAATAAGCCTGAAGGAAAGACTAGAATTATCATGTAGCCCTTCATACAACGTCACCATTTGTTTATCTTTTGTTTTCTTTGCTACAGTTAAAATGTTTATTAGAAACATGCACATCTCAGTTTTATTAGAATAGTAAAACTTTTATTTGACAGAAACTTCACCAGTTGTCTACAGATAAACCCTGTTACAATTTTTAAAAGTATTATGGGCAACTGAGACAAAGCAAAGTTTTTGTTGACTTTGTCTGTTTGTCTGTAGCATTAGCAAAATATCTCATGTATGTAACTGTAACTCAATTCTACTACTCRCATATAAATGCCAACATGGCTTTGCACCCTGATCTCTCTCTGACCTACTTCAAGTACCTTCGCTGGAACTGAGATCTTCTGATCAGCTGCTTTTGGTCGGCCTGAAAGCAAAGCTGAAGCTCTTGGTAATTACCGGATGTTTTTTAATGTACTTTATTTAAAAAAATTTTTTTTGACTTGATTTACTCAGTCATTTTTTTTCCCAATAATTAGCTAATTTGTTGTGGCAGTAGCAAAATGTTATCCTCATACCCTGAGTGCATCCACATCTTACAGGATCTCATTATATTGCACAAAAATTTACTTCCCAACTTGACTAAAACGGCTACAACTACAAATTCTGACCTGAAAGATATTGAGTGATATTCATTCCTTCAAGGAATGCTAGGCATCATAGTTTTAATGATTGTATAAGAGCACACTTAAGCAACAGCTGCTAAAGTCAGGCAGAAATATGKTGCATCTGCTGCATCAATTATTAACACATTATTATCACACCTTACAGACATTTTATTTCTTTGCTTGGAAAAAACATAAATGGCACTAATAAAGGCTTGATTTCTGTGCACATGATGCTGATACACAAAGGAGWTCCCATATGGCGCTCAAAGCTCAGTGGAGCTTATTAAGGACAAGAGGGGAATATTTTTAATGAGGATTTACAGAACCAAAAAAAAAAAAACATTTTAAAATCACCAGCTGTGAACCAAAAAGAAAACAGAGTTGTACTTAACCACAAGAAAAATAAATGTTGAGTTTTCAGCTGACACACAACAGCCCATATGATACAGCTAACATTGCTGAAGTCTGTTGTCTGATTTTGGGAGGTGCTCATCTGAAATCCCTCAGGTTTGTTAGGTTAATGCTGCACCAACATAAGTATACTGTAACTGCCTACACTGCTTGCTCAGGTCCACTCCCTGTCAGAGGAGCCCCGTGCAACACTCAAAAGCTTGACTATATGCTGCAGAACCAAGCCTTTAACTGACTTCCTGTGAAATACAGTCGATTTTCCAAGTTTACTTTCTTTTATGCTAAAGCTTTGCACAGTCTGGCATCAGAATGCATTTGTGAATTTCTCTACCCTTAATCAAATTCCAGTTCTCTGAGATTTTCTGAAAAGGTCTTTTTGGAAGTTCCACATTCTAGATTAGTCAGTAAGGGACTAAGTTACCCCAAACCATAGAACAGCCTTTAATGGTCACTGAAGTGCGTCCTCTCTAATGAGTTATTTAAAAAGCAGTTTAAGACACATTTCATTTCTCTGGCTTGTATTTACAATTACTGTTTTGGGCTTTTAGGTAACTTATGACATCTAATCTAATTTTATTTGGTTTTATATTTTATGATTTTATCACTTGTCACAAACAGGAGTAGGGCAATATTGTTTTTGCCTGTCTGTTCGTTCATACATTTTTTTAAAATCTCAGAACCAACTTACAAGGACATGTTC